GCACCTCTCCTAGGAAGAAAGACTGCAAGAGCTGGGCCTGTTCATCCTGGAGAAGAGAAGATTGAGAGGCGATCTCATCAATGTGTACAAGTATCTGCAGGGGGAGTGTCAAGAGGATGGGGCCAGCCTCTTCTCCGTGGTGCCCAGCGACAGGACAATAGGCAACGGGCAGCAACTGAACCACAGGAAGTTCCATCTGAACCTGAGGAAAAACTTCTTGACTGTGAGGGTGACAGAGCATTGGGACAGGTGGCCCAGAGAGGTAGTGGAGTCTCCTTCGCTGGAGATGTTCAAAACCTGCCTGGAAGCGATCCTGGGCAACGTGCTCTAGATGACCCTACCTGAGCAGGGAGGTTGGACTAGATGATCTCCAGAGGTCCCTTCCAACCTAAACCATTCTGTGATTCTGTGAAACATAGCACTTGCTAGCTTATTGGAGACAGAATCTGGAGACATATGAAGCCTCTCCAAGCAAGCCTCCAAAGAGGTTAAGCCACCAACAGCTACAAGATCTAGTTGGCGAACGAATGATAAGAAAGGGCAAGTAATCCAAGCGGAAGGAATCCTAGCATGGGAGTGTACGAATAAGCATCCAGAATCTCTGGAGTAGCAGCCCGTGGAAGCTACAAATATTAGAGGAGCTAGGTATATTCCTCAAGATTTTCAAGCATTGATGATAAGTCCAGTTCTTTATGCAAGCTCAGAAATGTTGGAGAGTGTGAATCCTTTCCCCTCTATTTTTGCGAAGGGCAGGCATATAACACCATGCACATACCTCTGCAAGTTATGGTGAGTATGCAAAAACTTTTCTGCAGTTGGAGGAAGGAAAACACTAAGAAAACTTAATACTTGCTCTAGGTTTTTGTTCAAATTCAGCCTCTTCTCCCTGATCCTGGTTATCTTCTCCTCTTCCTCAGGTGTTCATTTCTCATGTGCTAAGGGAAGCTAAGCCCACCTGGGACATGCTGGTGGTCTAGCAGAATTTTTTCTCACCCCATTCCAGAATAAGCCCTCTTTACCCCAAACACCCAAGAATCAAGAACATCTTTATCCTTCCCACCCTTTGCTACACTGATACTAGAGCAAATCCATGTCAGTTTACTCTGTGAACAAGCAACTCCTTGCAGGAACACTCACGATAAACTGGTCTATGGGTCCTTCTTGCCACTTTTGATACTGGGAAGCCTAACAGTCAAGCAAAGAACAGCTGGGTTTGAGGGTCACATTTGCTGATTGGACACATTTGCCTGGCAAGCCTTAATCAAAGCCTAATCTATTCAACAGATGTTTCTTAAAAGATACATATATGTTCATATGCACACACATAAATAAACACATTCCATTATTCCTTTACAGGTAAAGCCACATGATATGAAAGACCTTGCATGTGGTTCTGGCAATATAAGCAGACCTTCCTTATTAAGGTATTTTTCAGTTAAAATCACAACACAGCGCTTACAGCCTTCTTTAAAGCTACTTTTTACAGAAAACTGGAGTTTTTACTATGTTACTTTTTAGAAAAGATTAATGGGCTGCCTTCTGCTGAAAAAGTCAGCATTCTGTGGAAAAACAAATGCCTAAAATCCAAAGTGTTTTCAAACTTACATGAAATATTTTGCAAGAACTCAAAAAAAATCATTTCAGGATGCTACTGTTGTGCCTCACAGGAGTAATACTTCAGATTACACTTCATTTCCTAGAATATACTGCTGCCTATTATGGTGTGGGAAATACTGTGGCATAATATTTATATAGAATGACCAGGGAAGTATCGTTACTGAAAAAGATAAGAATATGAGGCACCAAAGAACATCATCCATATGACAGTACTTTTAGAATCAAATATGAATAGGTATTTTAACAAAGAACTTTCAGCTTTGACCTTTCTCAATAAAGGGTCGAGAGCTCCTTTGAGGGGGATTAAAAAAAAGAAGAGAGATTTCTAATCATTCTTAACTTACATCAGGCCCCATTTGCAGTACTTTGAGTTGAACAGTGGTGCTAAGGAGCCAACTTTTTTATTGTTCTCTTCATGAAAGCAATCTTGACCTTTTTACATTTGCTGCAACACTGACTGGTTTACTCACTCTGATGAACAGTCACTCGCAGGAGCGGGGTTATTCCATTAAGTATCTGCTCACCAGGGTAAGTAAGCGTTTCACATTTAGGTTCTTAGGGCCAATTTACGTAGGCAGTATGTGTGAGGTTATATCTTGGAAAAAAATGGTGGTTTTGTTTCAGACTCTGAAAGAAGCAAGAGTTTTTGTTGTTTCAGATTTAGGGGAAACTGGGACCAGAGCTGCTGTCTCTTACAGACGCAACAGTCCCCTGTCTAATTTGAGAAACTTGCCACTCACAAGGTCAAGATCTACCTAGTGATGGGCATGAGCTCCTGGGTCATAATGTCCGTGGAGTTCTAAGCCCGACAACCACTGTGAAATCTTGCCACTGCTTTTGTAGAATTCCTGTAACTAGTTGTCTTTTCCTCATCCTGCTCCTACTCCCCTAAAATGACAATAGTAGCAATATCACTGAAATAAAAACTTGGTGGTACAGTAAATTCTCATGTATCATCTGATCAATAGCACCAATATACTGATATAAATAGAAATGAAATGAAATGAAATACAGATTACCTGTAGAAAATCCCATTTTCTTGTGGCACTTTGTAAATTCAATATTAAAATAGGTGACCAAGGCATGAATGTAATCATTACGCTGAATTTGGAGGCAGAACGCAGAAGTAAATGCCAGTTCTTCAGTCTTCACTGTATAAATATCTACTTCCTATTTTGAGAAGAAATAAACAAATCATTTATATGCAGATGTCTGTCACTATTCTAGGCTAGGGCATTTTATCTGTTTTAAGTGTTAAATGAGGTATTTAAGCATTTTATTCAATGATTAGCAATAAAGACAACAGGCAATCCTTTACACTCCAAGAAATCAGTGGTATATTTGAGTACATCATATCATCAGTAAATGACCCAGAAGGGGAAATTATGAAAGTAGAAAAGCAGCCAATAATGGAAAGGCCAGTCAGAGAAGAGAGCATACCCTTTGGGATGGCAGGGAGGGATTGTGGGATTTAGCGGAAATTAAGGTGAAAATGTGCTTTGACAAATAGAGGCAAGCGGGAAGGGTCTCAGTTCTAAAACTCCTCATCACCAGGGACTGTCAGCCTTACTCACCATGAGGAAAGATGGCAGAATTGGGTTTTTAGTAAAAATAAGCTTCTGATGTGGGCATCTTTTACTTTCCCTGGAAAGGAATATGCCTTGACTGTGACATGTTAAGCAGTCAAAACATTTGAGGCATGACAGGACCTGCTTTCTGCTGGTCATACTTTCTAATCTAGTGTCAAATAATGGATTCCATACAGTAGGCATAGGGATTTTACTCTTCAAGGACACAGAAGCAAATCGTGTAAATCTTGATATGGCTTGAGTGCAGTGTCTGGGAGCAATGATGCAATCTCCAAGACTGCTTACTTCCAATGATATTTAAATCTTATTCTTGGCTTAAACTGAGTGCTTTACCAAGCCTTAAGCTGAATGCTTTAGATTGATCTGAGTTTCTGCACCCAGGTGCAGTGCTGCTTTTTTCTGGGATATTTCAAATACTGGTACTCACAACAGGGAGTATATTAAGTCTGAAATATTATTAACTTATTTGAATGCTATGGCAAATCTTTCCTACTGATACAGTTCTGGATATCCTCCTAAGTCTATCTGGCTTCACTCTCCCTATTTTCCTTGTCAGGGTACATTTGGATAGAGCCAGACACCCTCCAAATATTTTTCTCTATTTTCAGGAAGAAGAAACTTAATTTTAACAACAAAAGTGTTCTTGAATACAGAGAAATAAAAGTTTGTTCTGTAGACAAAAATACAAATTTCCTCTATCACACCAGCATAAACCAGAAATCATATCACTGACTTCGCTGGCATTATTTCAGACTTGCACTGTGATAATGGGGAGCAGAATTTAGAATGTCCATGTAGAATAGAGGACTCTATATTTTGGCAGTTACATTCTATAATCCAAGAGAATTCTATGAAAATAGACACCAAAATATGCAACCATATTTTAGTTATTGAGCTCTTTGCATGGACCACATATCTTACATATCTGAGAATTTGAAAACTTATGGTAAGACAGTTTATGTCTTTATTAAGTGAACTACTGTTTTGGCCTATTTGATTAGCAATTTTGTTCAAGAATAATTTACCCATAATGAAAATGATTCTATTTATTACATTTCAAAGGTCATGGCAAACTGTGTCATTAGTATTTACAAGTGACTCATAAGTCATCTAATTTAAAGCTGAGGTAGCCTTAAAATGTATTTTTTTTTCTCTCAAAAAAAGAGGAAAGTAAAAAACAGAATAGGAATGAGAATTTCTGAAATCTGCTCAGGTTGCAGAGGTTAAAATTCCATAGCACTCTGGAAAATTATCTTTAACAAGCTAGACTGGAGTGGTGGCTGACAGCTGTGGACTTCCATAATTTTTGATGGCTTTTCAGTGATATGACTGTGGGGAACTTAGAGTGAAATCTGCTGATGAAACGTTAAAAAGGTATCTAGCTCCCTCTCTCTGAGCTGTTTTGGCTCTGCAGGGTAAAGTGGAATCAAAAGTAGTAGGAAATATTTTTATTAGAGAATTCGGAGGAAATTTCTCAGAAATAATGAACAGATGTGCTGGGTAAAAGATGTCATTTTTGCAGTTATTTGTGTAAGGACATTTTTGCAAGCTCTTTTTTTGCTATGCAGGATAGAAGATGAATGTGTTTATTGATTAATTTGTAGAATTTTGAAACTGGCCTGATCTCTGGTTTTGGTGCTCCCTTGAAATGTTCTCTGGCTACTATAGCATTCTTATATTAAGAATGGTAGCATTCTTATATTAAATGCTACCATTCATTAAATGCTACTTAATTACAGCTAACAAGCCAGGGGGTATAAGTGGGATAAATGCTATTGTACATAAAATTAAATGGAAAAGCCATGATTTACCACATTTCATTCTAAAAAAATGTATAGCAAAAACAACAATAACAAAATAGGCATAGTTAAGCAGGGGTGTGGTCAAAATATAGTACTTAAGTATACTAAGAAAAAAAAAGAAATGGTGTTAAGGTGAGCTCTCTCCCCTTGCACCACCTGTCCTGGTTTGGACAAAGAGGAGATGGTCACCCAAACACAGCATATGATAGTGAAGGCAGTGCTTTTCATGCAGGTAAAGGTGCTGAGCAGAAGCTGGAGGAAAGGCAGCATTGGTAGGAGCAATATTGTCAGCTTCAGGAACATGATTGATCTGAAGCAAAATTAATTGCTAGGGTGGGAAAGAAGGGGAAAGGACCAAACCCTCTTTTCCAAGAACAGTTGAGATGTTGTCATGTGCACATATACACACAGAGATGAGAGGAGTAGAGGATGCAACAGTCAGTCCCCAAAAGACGTTTCCAAAAGAAAATGTTTCTTTTCTTTCTTTGGGGTGCAGAAACTGGCAGTATTAATGTAGAGAGAGGAGGAACAACATTAATTTTTGGCTGTTTTGGAGAGGGGCAGTGAAGGGGAGAATGGAGTATCTGACATTGTTTTGACTAGACGGTGCAGCATATGCTGGTTTTCTAGTAAATGTAATAACTGGGAAACAAGCATAGCTATGGCCTCTAGACAACAGAGGCCTCAGCCTCCTCAGCAGGGCCCATCCTTTGACAGCCCTTCCCATTTGCACAGGAGGAAATGCCTGAGAGTTACTAGTATTTGGAGCTGGAAGGATGTGGGGGAGAGGGCTGTTCCTCCTCTCCCTTTGATGTCTGCAAGCATAACATGAGAAGCTGGGAGGATAATGAAGTCTGTGAAGTAGAAAAAGAAACTAGTAATAAGCAGCTGGTTGAAGAGAGAGCTGAGGATGAGTTAAGTTTGAGGATGCTGAAAGGAAAGACTGGGGAGGAAAGAGTGACAGGGAAAGTCATCTAGGGGAGGGAAAGGAGCCTTTCGGGTGGAGAAAAGAGTGGAGGAGAAAAATGAGAAGCAAAGAACAGTGTTTGAAGACTAGGAACAAGTCAAAATGACCTAGAATGAAAGAGATGGAAAATGAGTGATGTAGCTGCTTATTGCTTTTCTTTACAAGAAGGACTGTATTTAGGAAGCTTTCTGAAGCTGCAGTGAAGCAAGAGGAGAGTCTCAGACTGTGAAGAGGAATGACTCATCCTAAACCTCTTGGGTCAAGATTACTGTGGGAGAAGAATATTTGATTCATTGGAGCTCAACAACAAGTGCCTCACCTAGGTGGCTGAATTGCTTTCTGAGCAACAGTAATTTTTCTACAGAAAATACTGTTGATCCTTTGAAATCAGTTTCCATACAGGTGAATCCTGATATTTCCAGAATGCTGGAATTGTCTCAAAATACTGGATATTTGAGCAAACAGGATGATGGCTTTTTTGCTAATGCATTATATTCTCAGATAAACAAGAATGTTCATTAAAAATCACCACTTATGTAAAAGATTTTGTGCAGGGAAGGCAGTCAGTGCTTTAAACACAATTAGACATCTTAAAGTAGTGTTATGACCTGTAGGGGCTTTAAACACTTCCTGAGAAGTGTGGGACAAATGGGAGCGTGAAGGTAGCTCTTTCATTTTGTATTGCTCTGTGGTTATATAGGGGAGGAGATTCATGAGCATTTTCTCACAGTATTTTCTATGGTAAACGGAATGTGGCATGTTTGTTTTTGTGAGTTTTTGCCACATTTTCTCATTGCAGGTTTTTCTACAGCTGTATGAGTAATTGATTTGTTGTTGTCACTGTTGCTTTTGATGCTGACACCAAAACTAATAAGGAAAAAAAATGTTTTGGGTCAACCCAAAACCAAATGTATTTGGTAATGTACAAGAGGATCAGAAAAGAGAACCCAATTATTTCATTCAGTCTGAAACAAACTGTTTCGCTTTTTCAGGCAGTGCTGCTCAGAGCAGTAGGCACTCAGAAGGAAACTTGTACACTTTTTCTGAGATCAGGAGAGGATGCTTGTGCTCTCTCCTACACCTTAACGACTTTGGTGGTCATCTGAGATGCTTTAGTCCCACTGTCCTCTCTGCCTGTTTTATATTGGAGTTGAAAGAAAGGGCTCTGACTTGCCAGGAGAAATTCCTTGCCCCTGGGATAGAAGTTTATTTTCCTTCTCTAACCAGCGTGGGTAATTAAGACATCATTCAAAAGGTAATTGCTTCCACATCTGAGAGACATATTTCTTGTGCCCCTCCTCCATCCCCCTCAGTGCACCTACAGGTTAGTGGTCACCTGCTGGAGAGTTCCCTGAGAGGTTCAAGACTTGGATTACACCCCATCCTGGAAGAAGACAGGGGAAATTTTACTTGAGTCTCAAACATTCTAGATGAGTGTCATCGAAACATAGAATGCAGGTGGATGATGTCATCTTTTACGGATTGTGTAGAACAATTCAGAGCATCTAAATTAACAGCTCAAATAACTGCAGAAGTACAGAGCACTGACTGATTCATTAGGAATGCATCTAGGGACTGGTCCATCTATTGACTGATGTGCAGGGGATCTAGACTCTTCTGGTAGGCACCCTAAGTCAGCTAATCAAAACAAATAGGTTGAACACACTTCCAAAAAAATCCTTTTGTGAATCTAATCTTATGAATAAGCCATGCCATCTTGAAATGACATAATAAAACATATGGACAATTAAACATTATTGCTCATTTTTTCTCAAATTTCTTAGGCTGAAATTAGTTTCTGAATTCACTGAAGTTTTCAGGTGCGCAGAAATGCATTTTATATAAAAAAATGATGTGCAAAAGCATATTAAATTTTAAAAAGAAATGCAGCCTTGATTTTTCTGCTTCCATATTGCTAGCTTGAACAAAAACTTCAGCACTTCCTGCCGTACATTTACTATTTTTATCTTTTTTAGTAACCAGTTTCTGAGATTAGGGACATACTCTGGAACTTCTGAGAGTGGTATCTGCTTGTGTAATTACCCCTTTTGCTCCCAAGGAGCTATTATATGATAAAGCACCATTCAGTGTATGGACAGAAGATATCAGGCCTTGTAGAGCTAAATATAAAATCCAAACAGGAACCATGTGAACAGTTTTGGCTGTCTTTTTACACCCAGTCACTTTCAAAGACCTTTTTAAATAAAATTTTGGATTTACACTTCAGCTAAGAGCATGCAGCTTTCATAACTTTTAACCACAACAACTATTAACAGGGAAGCCAACCTATTCTGCTACCTGATCTCTTGCTCTCTAGGCATATTTTATGCAGTTCATTTAAAAAATGTTTTTTAAGAGTGGTAAATTGACTGTCATAAATGTCATGTAGTCATTCTGGTTACATAACTCTTATTTTCTGTGTATTGTGATTTTAAATTGCTCTGCCTTAGTTGTTTTTTAGCAACAACCATTTTGTGTTTCTCTGAGTAAGGATGGACTGTGCATGCATACCTATTCACATAAAGTTTCTACTTTTGTTGCTTTTTTGCTGCTTTAAGGAGAGGTTCTGCGGACTGAAGGTAAATCTTTACTTTTTACTTATACGAATATTTGATGCTATGTTACTGTCAAAACCTGACATGGAAAAAAATGAAACTAAGTTTGTGGGATAAACGAGTGACATCTTGGCTTCACGGATCTGATCCTACAACTGCTATTGAAGCAGATAGCTTTACTCATGTGAGTGGTCCCATATGAGGAGGATTCCTCCCACTTGGAAGGAATTTCAGTGCTTTCATATGGTCTCACAGGCCATGGATTCTTAGCCTGAGCTTGTGAACAGTGAGCAGTGACCTTTCTGTCATATATAGAATAGGGTCCAAGCTAAGCTCTGGCTGCAGATGGAGCATGTTGGGGCTGGGAGAGCATGATAACATTCTGGATAAGGCTATGAATCAGAAGGCCACACAAAGAAGTAATTGTCCAATTCTGATCTCATGCGCTGGAGTAAATTAGAGTTATTCCATCCCAGCTGACCAATTCAGAATCTGATGCTCCAGCCTTTTAACTGCAAACAGAATTAATTTACTTCTTCTCCTCAGCATCTTTCAACCTCTATTTACAATAAATTAGTACAATTAAAACGCATACACAACTTTATCCAGTGTTATCCCATTTATAATTTGTAAGAGTTTGAAGTTACAGTTCCACTATAATAGTAGCCAGATGAGTAAAAAATTACAGGAAGCATCTTGTTTTTCAGTATTCCCTAAGTGATATAGGTATCAGCGTTCATGTTTAGCCTAGCTGATGGTATTTAGCATGTGCAACACACTAGTACTGGCTAATTGAAAAACATGTATAGTTTTCTTAGTGTGATGATAACATTCTATGACGGCTTCTGCAGCTAGTTAGAAGCACGCAAAGATAGTAGGAAAGCAAAAACAGTAGTCTCCAAAGAATGCTACAGTTAGATGTAAACATTCATAATTAGGTATATTTGGAATTACCAAACCTTTATTAAACAGGCATTGGTCACCACTTGCTTTGGATCTACTATGTCCACCAAAGGCTCCTTCATGGCAACATCCCTAATACAGGTCATGTCAAAGCCGTACACATTCTCCCACCCTGTTAATGCAAATGGATGTGTCAAAGATAAGTAGTAATAATAAAATATTTTGTCATTTTTCAAAGCCATTGAAAATATTTCCATTTGAAATATTTCTACCACCAGCTAACTTTCAGCTCTCCTCTTTAACCCTTTGCTCCCAATCTCAGTAGTTTGTGTTATCCTTGCCATTGTACAGGTGAAGCAATTGTGGCAAAATGACGTATCAATTTATATCTTTTCACAAGTGGCCCTTGCTTTTTGGTCTCAGGTTTCGGGTGACCCCCAAAACTATGTTTTGTGAAATTTGTGAATGATTTTCAGGGCTTTAGACATTTGAGAGTATTGCCCAAAATCATATCATACTTCATATTGAGACTTTGGAATAGGCATCAGGCGTATTCTGCTCTTTCCTATCCACTCTGGATAATATTTCCTTTTTTTGTAGGTATTTGTTGGATCAGCTGTTTGTATGCACACTTTTATTTATTTAAGTAGTCTTAGTTTCATTAAGAGGACTACTGGCCAGAGTAGAATTACAGATGTGTTTAGTTTGTGGGGAATCAAGCCTTTAATCTGCATGTACATCATGACAAAATGCCAAATATCCTGCTAAATTATTTAAGAGCTGTGCTGATCTTCTTTATTTGAGCTATTCTTATTATTTTACCAAGAAATGCCTCTTATCTTGCTCAGTTTTTCTTTTCTTGAACAAATAGTCCTGTAGTTTTTTTGGAAAAGTACATTGGCTCTGCTGCTAAGATTGCTTAAAAAATAAAACCAAAACTTCAAAAAAGGGAAATCTTTTTATGGTCTTGTGAATCATATGAGTCAAGTTCCATTAAACTTCAGTGCTCTATTTGAAAATCTGAACTGAAAGTCACAAAGGTTGTTGTAGGCTACAGCCTGTGCTGAATAGAAGAACATTTAGAAAAATGATGTGAATATTTTTAAAAAAATGAACAACTGATAAACAGTAATAGTGAGCAAATTTGAATTTTTTTTTTTCAAAGCATAGGTTTTGAGCTACTGGTGTTCCCAGTGGGGTATGAGCAAAAAGGTAATCTGAACAATATGAGGGAAAACTCTAAATTGTAACAAATCTGGAAATGAATGGCTCTTTTATGTGTTATCTCCTTATTGGGCTGTCAGTTGCTCAACATTTTAGGGGAGCTGGTGATCAAAAACTTAGTTTCTGGCATTATGAGTATATGGGAACTTCAGATTATTTTACTCAGAAAAGATTGAATAGGAAACTGAAGAATTTTTAAACAGAGTTATTGAGATCTCATTTATTTGATGGAATACCTTTGAAATATAAAACATGGTCGCTGTCCTATTAGATAGAGTCCTGATGTAGGAATTATGAGATAAAATTACACATTTCACATTTTGTAGGAAATCAGGCTAAATGACTATAGCAGTTCTCTGTGGCAGTAAAAAAGTTTGAAAAAATCAGAAGTCAGATTTTTTTTAGAAGCCTCATATTTCATTAATTCCTAAGCAATCTGGGGATTCCTGAGTGCCTATGAAATGCTCAGCCCTGCATTTCATGTGAAGATAAGACTCTATCCCCAACTTAAGAAGAGGTAAAAGAAAGATGAAAAATTGACATATAAGGAGATAGCATCAAGAAGTTACAAACTGAAAAGAGAGATGAGATAGTGGTGGAGTTAGGGAGTGAGACAGAAATAACTAAAGAAGATAAAGAGAATAAATGCTGGAAGTATAAAAAGTGAAGGGTGAATGAGAGTTGAAATCAGACAAGAAAGTATCTTAAAGGTAAACAAAATTTTAGAAGACAAAAAGAACCTGAAACACATTTAAAAGGGATGAAAAAGTGAATGAGTGGGAAAAAAGGTGGCTTGTCTGTGAGAAAAGAAAAAGGCTCAAGGTCTAGAAAGGAAGGATGACAAAAGAAAGAAGAATGTACATG